AAGTGGGGCATCAATCCCACAGTATTTCATTTTTCAGGAAGATATATCATTTTATGAAGATCAACAAGTTTAGGGCCACGGAGCCATTGATTGTGCACATAAAATTGTTCAACCTCCAATTTGGGAACCCAATCAATATCAGTATTCAAATTGAAGGCGAACAGTTAATATCTTCTTCAATCCATCTACAACAAATTTGTATAACCGAACCACATAAAACAGATCACTCACATGGGCTACTAACATAAAATGCAGAACTATAATGTAATAATACTAATTAAGTACTAGTGCTGTTAAATTTAAATTTTGGCACCTGAACTGAAGACTGGAATAACATGAAAGCCTTTTATGATTTACAATTAATTAGATTCAAGATCTCTTGGATCATTAGAATGCAGCATCTAAACTTCAAAAATACCCTTGGAAATAACAGATGTATTTTGCCTCAGGCTCTTCATCAATATTTTTCCTGCAAGGAATCGTAAATGCAAGATGCATACTCGTGGAACCTGCACTCAACTTGCTTAAAACACGTAATTGAATCCTACGGTACTTTAAAATGGATCGAAAAGGTTAGTGCATCTATTATATATAGTATATTTTGTAGTTTAATAAAATTGTATTAAACTACAAGATTAAAACCATCTGATAGAGGGAGGCAATCCCAATTTCTCATTCGATAATCAATGTTGTGTGGCCCGGTATATCAAGACTGCACGACAGTCATTTATCGTAACAATATTGTTTTCAGAACAATATTTACTCTTGTCGTGGTTCCCATATACTGCACATGAATTACGTAACACATACCCAATCCAGCAGCACCAACATTTAATTGATAAAAAAAAAAAAAACATTTAATTCATAAATTTTTATCGTGACTAATTTCATCACCTTTTGGTTAGCATTGTAAAGTTTATGAAAAATGTTACAAATACCCTTATCCGTTACACATTCACTTTTTAGTATTTTCCGTTCACTCCCAAATGCACCTAGCCCAACTGACCGGATAGTGAAGCAGGAAAGTAATCCTAGTCTTTAGGAAGCAGCCATGTTCTAAACTCCAATTCCATAATTTCATGATCTATCAATTGTCATTGCATTTAGACCCTTTGAAGCTTCAATTCAAGACTGCTATCTCCAAAATTTGATAATCTCACCTTACCACTAATGATTTCATCAGCGATCTTGCAAATAGCATCGAGCGTGTTTTCAATCTGCTGCTGCATAAATTTGTTCAGCGCAAGCTTCGAATTCCTCAGCCAGTAGTGTCCAACCATCCGTCCTTTGTTAGGATTCGCAATGGCGCCTTTCTTTAGCTCCTCCATCGCCTTAAATGCCACTTGGAATCTCGGCTCCATCTCCACCACAAACTCATCCGTGCACCTAATCTGACTAACATCCAGGTACAACTAGAGCTCTTTGTGTTGGCAAAGCCAGTCAACATATCGCCTCTACAGTGCATGAGGATCTTTCTCAACTCGCTAGGTTTCGAAGGAACCCAGGTTACTGGGTTCCTAAATCCTTACCTCCAACCTCTAAATCCTTTCATTTTCTCTCCCCTTCCCCAACATCAGATTTGGGTT